CGCTCGTTCAGCCGTGCCTCCTGATTAAGCATAATTTATGTCGGCCAAGTGGCGACCATTAGCGCTGCGTCGCCATCGTCGACGTCGCCGGGTTTTCCAGTCGGAGTCATAGTCGTAGCAGCGGCAGCGGCAGCGGCAGTCACAGTCACAGTCGCCATGTCCATGATAAATGCGGCGCATTAGCGTCCAATGCCAGGCTGGGCAATAAATCCCCCGCTCGCCATGCTTGACCCCCCATTATTTGCCCGATGTTTGGTTAATTTCGCTGCGGGAATTTTAAATCATCTTTAAATTAGGGTCATGCAAACTCAATAAACCAAAGGCGATGGGTGTGGTGGGTGGTTGGTCGATGTTCACCCGTTCACCCGTTCACCCTCACCACATCTCTCTCACTCTTCCTCTGTACACCGCAAACGCTACTTCTGCACTAATTGAGTTGCAGATACATTCGCACATTTGCCACAATTTGGCAAACAAATCACGTAGCAACTGACGCTGCTCATCCCCAGTGCTGCCGTTGCTGCTGCTGCTCGCCCCACCCACCCAAGGCCATTACATACATGAAGCCCACATTTGGTATTGCATTCCCAGGGCGGGGTTACGTCTGTTTTCTTTTTTGTTTTTTCTTTTTTTGTGGGTCTTTGGGTGGCACAGAGAACATGGCAAATGTGGGGCGGTATTTCAATATTGCTAAACACACACAGAAGCAGAGGGGGCAGCATTTAATTGATTCGCTGAGAATTCGTGGAAGCCGCCATCACCGGTCAAGGTATTAGTTTTAATCGAAGAACATTCGGTTTTATTTTTATTTGCTTAGCTGGAGCTGGCATTAAGGCCATTTTATCTTCGGTCAGTGAAGAGAGGTTTGAATTTGAAATTTAAGTTCCTTTGATTTTTATATCACATCTAAAGTTAAGCATAAAATGCTATATCACGACTTGCTTTTACGGTCATTGAATATATGTATGGGTATATATATATCTGGCCGATTCTTCCATTTCGTTGGTGAAAATGCTGACTGGGTTGGGGTGTTGAAATTTACATTTATTTCATTTTCCCTGGCCCCTGCCCCCTGGCCCAGAGAAATGCAAATAGCGGGCAGTTGAAAATGCAAAAAGGTTTAAATGCAGGCCATCTTGTTCTTCTCTTCGCTTTAGCCCCCATCTCTTTCGCCTTGAATATGGCCATCTTTGTCTGCATTAATGCATATGCATGAGACTTAAGCGTGGAAACGCCTCGGAAAATGGTAGTTGTTGTTGTTGTTGGGTAGAGAACGAATACCTACTACCAAATTATCGACACTTAAAATGTTGCAAGCGTCGCTTGTTTGCCTTGCCACAACCCCCTCCCACGCTAATGCCACCTTAAACCCTGCTCTACTTTTTAGGGCACTTCCACTTGCTCTTTCTCCTCTGGGGTCTCTTCATCTTCGTCTTCATCGCTGCCGAGTGTCGTTGTCCTGCCAAAGGATTCCCGTCGACGTTTATGTAATCTTAATGTTTATGCAGCTTATGCTTCATAAATTCGCCGCCACCAACCTCTCTATCTCTCCTCCCGGCTCGTACCGAAGGATTCCTTTTGCTTTTGGCGCCGCGACGTCGTCTTCCGGTGGCATTTTGTGCCATCGCAGCTGGATCTTCATTTTATACCCTTGCTGTTCGGTAATTTGCGCAGAATTTTGCCCAGGCATTCAGTAAAAACTTTTCAAAACCCAAACTGCAGCTTAAAATATGAAAACTTCAAGTTTCGAATCTCTTAAATTGTGACGCTTTTTGTTGGTATTTAAGGGGACTTAAATTAAATTAAATTCTTTGAAACTTAAAACTTTATAGTTAAAAAATAGTAATTTGTAATTAAATTAAATTGTATTATCGGGAAAATCCCAACCTAACTATTAAATTTAATGCAGGGTAACTGCCATTTCGCTGGCCATTCATATCGTGTGTTTTCGCACAGCTCTTTTGTACTTTTTGCTTACTTTTTTTTTTTTCTTCTTCTGCACATCCGTTGCCGTTTGTGCCATTTGTTTATTGCCAGTTTCATTGCTTCATTGCGAACGTTGGCGAGCTATACTGTGCTTATCTGCCCCCTCAGCAATGCCCTCCCCCCCTCGCAGAAGGTCCTTGCAACCAGCTTCATCTTCATCCGCATCCGCATCCGCATCCACATCCCGACATCCCACATCGCTCCTGCTTTATTTTGGCTGATGGAAATATTTTTACGACAAGTTTTTCGCGAAGATTTGCAACATTTGCAGAAAAAAGAAAAGGAAAGAGGAAGGCAAACGGAAGTGGATGTGGCACTGGAAGTTGCGCGAATCAGCGTAAAAGGAAAAACAAGAACGACAAACGCAGGGAGCGGTCCATGGCCAGGTCCATGGCCAGGTCCAGCCAGGACCGTTCAAATGAAACGCACATTTTGGCCATAAAACGCTTAACGTTGATGTGTTCACTTTGATCAACCTCTGACCCCCAGAGCTGACCCCACATTTTGCACAGGATGTTGTCAAGTTTTATGTTAACATTCGGTGGTGCGGCCAGCAAAATGCTATGACATTCCTTCTCTTGCTTCTCCTCTTGTTCCTGTTCCTACTCCAGCTCCTTCTCCGTTCATGAATTTTGCATGCGGCAGCAGAATGCAAAATTATAATTAGGCAGCCTTGTCGTAATGCCAGGCGAAACAAGAGATATCGCTCGATGCTGCGCTCCACTTTCTCTCTACCTCCTCTTTCTCCTTTTCTTTTTTGGGTTGGTTGGTTGGCAGCTTGATTCGGCAGTCAACGCACGTTCGAGCATAAAGTACATTTTATTAGCTTGCCTTTTGCATTGGCCAGGGTTGGTCGGTGGTTCAGCAGTGCAGCACCACTTCCGATTGCCCCGCATTTCAAGTTGCCGGATGACACGTAATTGGTGTGACCAGGGCACAGGAAGTTCGCTGGTATCAATTATAATTCCAGTGCCCGAAAATGTGATCAGAAAACAGAGCATTTCATTTTCATTGCATCTTATTATATTTAACTAATTAAGGGGAGGGATAGAGGGTAGGAATTGGAAAGAAAGAAGGATTAGTGTGGTAAACTTTCAAGATTAGTGTGCCCAACATAGTTTATGAGTTCTGTTAACAAAAAATGAAAGATTTAAGATAAAGTATCAGACTTTTCCTAGCAAAAATTAATGAAAGTAAAGTAAAAACCAAAATATATCATAAATTAAGATTATATAACTAATTCCATAGTGCATTTTAACATTTGGCATCAAAGTAAACCCCTTTGACCTTTGGCTGTCACACAAAAACCCGGAAAATTTCCTTTGAAAAAAAAAAAAGCACCGAAAATTCTGTTTCCACTTTGCCTGATTAGGAAAAAGTGCTGCGCCTTTTCCTTTCATGTGATTTGATTCGTTACGTTCTTGTTGTTGTTGTTGTTGTTCTTACTGTATTTTTTTTCGTCCTGCTGACAACGCTGCGTATGCGTAATAATTTTTTAGTTGCGCGCCACACCCGACACGGCACAAACCCAGGGCAATGCAAATAAATATTCAATTGCAAATGGCTGACAGGACGGACAGCCCACACCCCAGTTACTTTTTTCTTCTTCGCGTGTGTGTGTGTGTGTATAAAAGGCAAAAAGGGGAAAGGTCAGGGAGAGAGAAAGTGAGGCAACTGCTACTACTACTACTACTACCACTACAACACCACGCAAAGCGGACGCGCTCAAATTGCAAATTGTGCTCGTTTACAAGCGAAATAAATGCGCGAGCGCCTGCCATTTGGCAAAAAGTCAGCCATACTCCACAAACAGATCCTGACCCACCGCATTTTTCCGGGCTTTTCTTACCTCCCCCCTCCCCCTACACACACACACACACACACACAAATTTATACACCAGGCAATGAACTTTCCTCCTCCAGCGTTGGTGGCATTAGGAAAAATGAAGCGTCGTGCCGCAAAAGACAAGTTTTGGTCGCTAGTCGCCCGTCGCCCATCGCTCGACTTGGTTGGCATTTTTGTGTTGCGTGCTTTTGGGCGCGTAATTAGATAAGCAGCCCTTGGCTGGGCGTCTATGTGGGGATCCTATGTTTATCCTGGTGGAATGGGATGTCAAGCCAACCAACAAGCCGCTGACAGATGGAGCGTCATAAAAGCAGCACCAACAATGCGCCACAGAATGTCTGAGGTTAGGAAAAGCGGAAAATGGGAAAGTGGGTAATGGGATGGGTGATGGGTGATGGGTTGGGGATAAATGGCAAGTGGAAAACCCCAAAAGCAACATGACAATACCATGGGAGTGGAGAGAGAAAGAAAAAAAAAAACAAGGTGGCACTGGCAGTGGCGGGGATTTGAATTTGTCACGTGGCCGGCAAACGCACCTGGGCACAAAAAGGGGGCGGACAAGGACACAACATGCAATTATACGCAATCAACATAAATCATTCAAATTGCCACAGACACACACACAGAGGAACACAAGAAGGAGAGAAAGAAGAAAAGAGCAAGGAAAACCCGAGGCGCACTTCAAAATGTTGTGTTGAGAGGGGTGGGGCTGGAGGTGGTTAACCGTGGGCGTGGTGACCGTTGACGTTGGCTTTTGGCTAATTTGCAATTGAAATGCCCAAATTCTGTGGGCTGGCCGCATTACGCATACGCCGTGTGGCTCTGTCTGTGGCTGCGTGGCAAAGGCTCCTTAAACTTCCCATCCTCAACACCATCCATCTTCGTTCCCCTACATTCACATCCTTGCCCATTCGGCTGACAAATGCCACAGGGGCACGTGAGGTGGTGGTCGGTCAAGTTGGCCAAGGTAAATGAATCCTGCAATTGCCGCCAATGGCTAAGAAGATTTCTTTTTTTGTTTAAATATTAAAGGAAAGACTTTGTTTATGATTACAAAGATAAGACTAGGGAATATTAATATTAAATTGCGACTAATTTGGTTATTGTTTAGCTTAGATATGATGATAGTCTTTAGATCTGACCATCTCTTTTGTTATTGATTCAAATATCATCCCTGAGAACTACGATCTTCAGGGCCTTTGCCTCCTTTGGGTTTCTGCATCAGCTGTGTACTGGATATACTTAACTCCCAAGCGCTCTCCTTCTTTACAGAAACACTGTCTAGTTATTAATTAAAACGGATGAATGAAGAATAGTAACTACTATAGTTACTATCATCATCCTCCGTATTAATTAACTACCAGAAAGTGGACCGTATAGAAGATGAGGGTTTAGGAGTTCAATGTATCCAAAACAAACCAATCGAAACAGAGAAAATTCTGTTGGTTGAGTTTTGTATGAAACTGGACGTTGCCTTGTAAAGAAAATGATAGAACAAGTTGGGAATTATAGGATAGAAATGGATGGATAGCAGTTCTGTAAGTTCTTTAGCGATAGATGGCGCTTTTTATTAGAGAGTCAGCTAGTTTTTGGTTTTAATTCTTTTTGATGCACTTCTTTAAGAAGTTAGAGGTATCATAGCTAAAGCCATAACCTAATATTTTCAATTCTCAAAATAAAACCTTTTAATTTCAAGTTTTGGACAATATTTATTCGAGATTTTTATGGATTATTTTAAGATTCCTACGAATTAGCCTCCAGCCGTGATCAAAGTATACGTCGTCCCTCAGTTTAATTTCTTTACATATCCATATTCCCAAAATAAAACCTTTTAATTTCAAGTTTTGGACAATATTTATTCGGGATTTTTATGGATTATTTTAAGATTCCTACGAATTAGCCTCCAGCCGTGATCAAAGTATACGTCGTCCCTCTGGGAAGTAACTTCAATCAGTTTAATTTTTTTACATATCCAACCGAACATAAATCCATATCTTTCGGGTATGCCTCATCGGCTGTTCTTGATGTTGTCATTCTTATTCTATATACTAACTATTCTGCATAAATGTCGGCTTTCGAAAAACTTGCATTAAACGCCAGAATTTGAAATTTGGGTTTTTTGATTATAGAGCGAGCGAGCACTGCAACTGCAAGAAAAAGAATGGGAAAGATAGCAGATATATCTTGATATATATATATATATATATCGACCTACCAATTAACCGAATACCGATTTTCTTGATTTAGCCAAACGGTGTCAAAGTTCAATTTGCCGATTGTGCCACAGATTCGAGTCCATATTATCCATCGTAGAGGTAGGGAAGGAGGGAATATACCTTCCCACACACACACACACACACACAGACACAACAACAAAAGCACAAGATTTCCGGATTGTCCTGATCATCAGTTTTGTTTTAAAAAAAAAGATCTATCGGTACACCGTATATCTCGGCTAGCTGCAGTTTGATGTAGGCAACCACGCCAGTTGGACAATAGGCCATACCCTCCGATAGGGTTATCCATTTGGCATTCATTTCACCGGCATATACTACATGCAAATAGACGTTCCCTTCGAATAGTACATGACTGATAATGCCCATTAGATTGCTGGTGGTGGTGGTGTTGGTGTTGCCGCCAATTCCGTTGAAGTTGCCGCTGCCATTTCCGTTTCCGTTTCCGCCTCCGTTTCCGTTTCCGCTAAAGAAGTTGCCAGAGCTGTCAATATTGCCGGTGGCATTGGCATCCGCAGTAGTTGCTGGATTCAGATTGATGACCATACTAAAAGTTATAGGTTAGAACTTCTTCAAATTGTAGTAGATTAAAATTTAGATATAGCTTAACTTACCTGACTATAAAACTATCAAAAGTGGAAAAGAAATCGGATTGGAAGCAGTTGTCGATGTGGCCTAAACCTGTTGGCCCTGTTGCAGCCTTTTGGCCTCTTTGGCCCTTGGCTGTATTGCGGTGTCCACTCTTTCGGTCCTTTTGGCTTGACTTGAACTTTGAACCTATGAATTTGGTATACTTAATCCGGTTTTGGGTTTGTTTTTTCTTCTTCTTCTTTTTCTTGATCTTTCTTTGTCTCTGTGCGATCCCAAAAGAGAAATCTGGGTATATCGTAAGGCCTCTGGTCTCTTTAGTACGTTGACAAAAAAAGAATGATCCGTTCTTCGTAGGCTTCTTCTAGTGATTAGCTTGTTGCTAATTATGATTTCTTCCCCGTTTCTTTATTGTTTAATGTTTATTGTTTTTTTTTTTTTTTTTTTTTTCGATTTTTCTTCTGAATTTTTTTTGTTTTTGTTTTTTACGTAAAACGTGTGTGTGTACGAATGTGTCTGTTGTGTGTGTTGACTGCCTAGCTGGGATTTACCAAGTCAAATACAGCCTGACAGTTGACTGACATTTAACTCAATGCCAACTGAAATTCTAAAAAAAAAAAAAAAATATATAAATTAAATTTAATATTATTTGTATGGTAAATGTCACATTCGTTGTGGTAAACAAATGATAGATTAAAAACCTTTTTTTATTTTATAAAAAATAAATTTTTATTAAAAAAGAAAAACTATTTTAATATGCAAAGTTAAATTTGAATTTTTAGACCATAATCAGCATGAAGTGCGCATTATTTATGCATTTTTAATGCCGTGAAAAGTAATAAGCTGAAAAAATACAACTAAAAACTGTAATACCCTTCATCATTTTTTTGACATGGCAACGTGGCAACCCTGGCTGCTTATGAATGCTATGCCACCACACACATATTATGTTTTTGCCTTTGCCATAAAGCGCCCAGCAAATGAACAGAACAAATAAAACTTTCACGGCAAAGTTGTTGACATGGCAGCTTCCACTGCCATCTGATTTTGCACCTTGCAATGCCTCACCTTCGTGTCCGCGCTTAGCAGCTCTTTATTTACGACAAGGCAAAGGGAAGGCAAGGCGGGGTAGGGCAGGGCAGGGCAGGGCAAGGCAAGGCAAGGCAAGGCAAGGCAGGGCAGGGCAAGTGCAGTGCGAGGAAACTGCAGTGGAGAAAAAGCAGTGTTTGGTGGAAAAGCTGGTGGAGCTGAGCTTAAGTCCTGCCAACAGGGAACCCCAAAGCAATTAAATCCCATTCGCTGTGTGAGTGTGTGTGTGAGTAGCAAATAGGATTCCCGGATGGGGGGGTTTTTTGAAAGAGGAGGAATCCTCCGGACAGAGACAAACAATCAAACGGAAATTAATTGCGGGATGTGTGAAAAGTGAAAGCCAAAAGCTGTTCGGTAAATGATTGTCGAGCAGCGAGTTTTCCCAGTTTTCTCGCCCCCGTCACCTCCTTTTTCTTTCGCTCTTAAGCCCTGATTGATAGCTAGCTTCAGGCTAGTGCATTGACTCCTACTCTCCGGGAATGCAAGCGAAAAAGCAAGAAAGTAAACAAAGAATGGAAGGTCAAAGATCAAATACTCTTTCTAGCAGTTGGTTGTGGGAAATATGGGTTTTAAGAAGGAAATTTAGGTATGGATTATGGAGTCCATAGAGTTTTTATCACCGAAAACATTGATTTTTAAATCAAATTTATAGATATTGGAAGGCAAACTCAGGAACTCTAACTTAGCTTTCATAAAAATTCCTTTACAAACTGTTTTAGAATGAAATCAGAAGTAACTCTCTTTGAAATTGATATCTTTTTGATTAAATTACAAGGTTTTAAGGAAAAACTAAAAATTAAAAAACTAAACAAGAGAAAAATTAAAAATATTCTTACGAGAGTTTTAAGGCTTATCAAACTTAAGGCCAAACTCTAACCCAAGTATCTTCTTTTTTTCTAAACAAATATCTTTAAACTTCAACCGTTTAATATTTTTCTGCCACATTTTACCCCCCACTGCTACCTTTTTTTTGTTTAAATGTTCTGCGAAAATTTTTGCCAACTCACTGAACTTATGTTAAACACAAAAATGTTCCAACTTTCATGTCATGGCATTACCAAAACCCATTGAGCCATCGGTCGAAGCTTAATTAATACATCGTTACGTGCACTTTTTGGCCAACAATGGATGAGGAGTTTGGTGCAGAGGGATGGAGTATGAGTATTATCAGAGGATGAAGAGGGAAAGGGAGTAGTGAAAAGGACAAGGCTTAGCCTTCTTTCAAATGCCGTTGTCCTCCAATCATAGAACCATAGCCATAGCTGTATCCATATCCGGATCCGGTTCATAATGAGCCGCCTCATTGGACCGGCAAGTGAGTTATGTCTTCATGAAAGATTTGACAGTTGCCTCCCAGAAGGGGAAGGAGTAGTAGCAGGGAGCAGGAAGCAGGGGTATTGCCTCGGTTACACGCCTCGGTTAACTCCAGCATCCGCTGCAACGCTCGCTGCTCCAGCCAAGCGTTTCATATTGCCACCCACAAATGCCAACTGCCACCTGCCACCTGCCACCTGCAACCTGCCATCGCCCAACTTGCAGTCGCACTCACTTCATAATGCTGTCAAGGTTGAGCGATGCTGAAATATTGAAGCCTGCCCTTTAAATATTCACGAGTTCGTGGCTTGATGGAGGGTACGAGATTGCGATTGGGTGTTGGTTGTTGGGTGTTCGCCCGAAGCCAGGTGAATGCCGCAGTGAAAACCGTCAAAATGTTGAATATTCACTTGTCTACTTAGCTGAATCTATCTTTGGACTTGGAAAGATCTTAAAAAAGTGCTCACCTTTCGATTGCAAACACTGGCGGGGTTATAGAAATGCTCAAAGTTGCTTTTTAAGATGGGAAAATATCAATTTATGAACTCTCTATACGATCTTTCTTTATCCTTTCAAGTTGATTGCTTTTTTCTTTAATAGTTTTCCAATTGACAAACAATGACAGATGATTAGTGCTGAGTAAGTTTGTTTTTATAAAGCGTTCTTACAGTGTTGGTTAAGGTGGGGCGAGAAATTAGGGTGGCCGGACTTATTGTTCTGATCTTAACAGATGTTTTTGGACTAAGAAAAAGAGCAAAATGGTTATTATTATTAAGCAAAATGTAAAGCTTTTTATACCTATTAGATAACCATGTTGGTTAAGGTTATGTTAGAAAAAAGTATGGCCAGATTTGGTATTGTAATCATTAGAGATATTGCTAGACTAAGAATGTTAAGTATTTATAAAGTAATATTACGTTACTAAAGTTTAACATTAAGTTTATATTGTTAAGTAGAATCTTAAGCTTTCTATACTCCCTAAAAATTCATCTTGATTAAGGTTAAGTCTGAATGCAGTGTTGCCAGATGTCTGACAATAATCTTAAGATATGTTTCTAGACTAAGAATGTAAAGTATTTATAATCCTTTGTGCAGTAACGTTAAGTTTGTATTATTAAGTAAAATCTTTAACTTTCTACACAACCTAAAAACTCATCTTGATTAAGGTTAAGTCAGAAAGCAGTGTGACCAGATTTCTTATTGTAATTCCAACTAATATTTTTAGACTAAGAAGGTAAAGCATTTATAAACCTTAATACAAGATGAATCTTTTTTTTTATTATTAAGTAAAATCAATAGTTAACCCTAGAAAACCATGCTGGTTAAGGTTAAGTCTGAAAACAGTGTTGCCAGATTTGTTATTAAAATCTTCACAGATATGAAGTAAAATCTTGAGCTTCCTTTAACCCTCAAAAGTTCACGTAGCTCCCAAAAAAGTGCTAGTAAAGAAAATAAAGTGTGCCCAGGGCGTTGAAAGTCGTATCATCTGCAAACTTGGCTGTGTGATTGACTTCTCGATGCAGCTTGCCAGAGGTCAAAATATACACACACACAGCCACACACACACACACTGGCGAGTTCAACGACTGAGCACTAGTATGGATGTATTTGCCGTTATACCTTTTGTTCTGGCCCTGTTTGTTGGCCAACTTACTGAAGACCAGCATCGAAAATCCAAAAACAATTCGAGTCCCGGGACCAGGGTTGCCAACATAAACAATTTATGCACAACAAGCTGGACTCTTTTGAATGGCAAAGGAAGAAAAGAAAGAAAGTAAAAAAAATAAAAAGAGAGAGATGAGGAGTAAGAGCTAGGAAGGGGAAGTCCTGGCTTGCAGTCAGCTAACTTTTAGCTTGGCTTGTTAGTTAAGCGTAAACAAGGGGCGGTAAAGTGGGTGTGGCTGTGGGCAGTCAGCGAGGGGAGGGGCAAGTGTGCGGGTCATTTGAATGCATGTTTGGATGGACAGACCTCAGCGCCATCGATGATAAGCGAGAAGTCAACACAGCGGAGTGAAAGAGGAGGGCGGGCGGGCGGTGAAGAGGAGGAGCGGAGAAAGTGGGTGGGCGGTAGGGGGATGGCTGTGTTGGTTGATAGTGGGCCGTGGTCAGTGGGGACTTTTGGTCATGTGTTTGTGAGTTTGTGGCGGCAGAGGCGCACGAGTCAACGCCAATGGTAAATATTTAGCTCTCGGCTGCACTTGAGATTAACTCGCACACAGATGCAGCAGCAATCCAGGCACTCATACATACAAATATATATAGATATATATATATATATATACATATATATATATATATATGGTGTGTGTGAAAAAGGGACAAAGGCGGAGTGAAGCAAAATACAAACACACTCAAAAGTGAAAATGGAAAAAGTTTCAATGGTTTTATCATGTTTACTTTTATTTGTGTCACTGAGTGGTTGTATAAGCCCCGGCAACCCCGTGCCCTGCAACTCTACCCTCTACCAGGGCGGGGGTCAGGGGTCAGACTCAGAGGATAAACAAACATAGACGGAGGATAGAAAGGAGGTGGAAAGCTAGGGGGGAAGGGGAAACAAAAAAAAAAAAAAAAACGTAGAAGGACTCACATAAGAAGCGTATGTTCAACACACTCGAGGGAGATCACTGGCTGCCGTGAAGTGCCCGACAAGTGACAGCACTGGATTTCGATAAGGAGCCAGGACAATGGCAGTTGTCCTTGGTCCTTGGTTCTCAGTTCTCTTTCCCATGTCCTCAGTCCTCTGTCCTCCTTTTCCTGGCTACCAACAGCTGAGCCCAGCTGAGCCATATAGAGTGAGATAGCTACAGAAACAGCTTCGGGCATCGAACTGCTAAATTCCCTGAATCCCACTCGAGTTACGCCTTTAATGCGACGCTGACCTCTCACACCAGCCTCTCCCAGCAGCCCCTTCACCCAACCAACATCCTCAGGCTCAGGAATGACTCCTGAAGCTCACCTAATCAGGTGCTAAGCTGCAGCCAGCTGGCAATAGCTGCTGCCTTCTCTTATTCACTTGGCCAAAAGGTGCAGCTATTCGTTAACCAATTTTACCGATTTCAGGCCGACCTGGCCATAAGGAACTTGATGCGACTTGCGGCTTTGCCAATTCCAAGGTTGATTGGGGATTGGTCAGGGGTTAAATTGGAGATCTTGACTGTTAAGTAAGAAGTTCAAATTTGCTGTGAATAATATTTAAAATTTGATTTAATCTTTAATATCAAAACTTTAAATTTCTAATTAATTTTGCATTTTCCAAAAGTTGACTAAACTTAGCCGGCCACTCTAATAAATTAAACTTGCCTTTCGGCCAATTGGCCTTACCATTAAGTATTCATGTGGCAACTAAATTAAGCGTTAATCGGCTTTTGGCCATTGCAGTTTACGTAATGCGTAAATTGAGCGCACTATATGTTTATATATATATCAGATTATAGCATATATATATCAGATTATAGCATATATATATATCTCAAATAACATAACAAACTTAAAAGTTAAAGACTTGAAAGATTTCCATACGAATTTTCCACATTTCCCACCCCTTTTCTCGCTCAAAAAGCACTAATTAGTAAATATCCTTGCATAGGGCTAAACTCAGGCCTCCCGCCCCTAAGTGCTGTAGTGCCACGCCCTCTGTTATATGCTGGGCCAAGTTGACTTTGGGACACATTTTGCATTGATTGGCTCTCGAGTGTTTTGCCAGCCAGCCTGTTTCCGTTCGTAGACGACCGCCATTGTTTTCCAGAACCAGGCACAGGGCCATTGTTTCGTCATGTTGAGGGTGGTTAGGGGGAGCATTGAGGGGTAACCAAGAGGTTAGAGGTCGTCAAGTGTGCGATCGGAGATAAAAACGCCCCCCATTGTTTTTATTTTTGTGGCTTTTGTTTGCGCTTTTAGCAAGTAATTAGTTTGGCATAACATTTGTCGCCCCCTTAACCAAGGGGGGACTCTCTGTTTGGATGAAGGTCAGCTGGGCTCGAGGGCAAGTATTTGATTTCGGTTATGCAAGCCTGTGGAGACTTTCTAGTTTTCTAGATTTCCCATTTGATTCCCTGAAGAGTTGGTCAGAGGTTGTTGGGAGGGGGTTAAATTTTCTTGGTTTTGGTTTTGGTTTGCAGGCAAACTACTTTTGGAGTTGGGTTTTGTGTTTAGTTTTTTCGGAAAGCTGAGCTTTTTTTATTTTTTATATTATTTTAGTTTTAAGGTGTTTAAATATATGACGAAATTAAGCAATTTTGGTAACTAGTTTACCTATTAAAATCCATTTTTATGCATATTTTTTGGAGTATTCTTTGGATTTGTCTTCAATTTTTAGATTTAATATTATACAGTACCCCCGTGAAGCCTTAAGGGGGACTACCTTGATTTAAAATTTAATATTTACAACAAAAAATGCGCAACATAGGACCACATAGCTAGCTTTTCCTATCATGGAAAACCCCATTCGAAAATGTCCCCTAGTAAAAGTGATATTATGATTGCAATCCTTCTCATCTTAGTAGATATTCCGAACTACAGATGCTAGCCCACTGAAAGGCTAACTGAATGGATATCGATCAGTGAAAAGTATATATATATATAGTACCTATTAAACGGTGTACTGTGGATGTTCTGGCACTGCAAGTATTATAGTCTTTTGCCCTCGAAACCCCCATGAACCCTGCTGAATGAAAATAAAAAAAGAACCCCCCCAAAAGCTTCAAACTCGCAATCGTTGCGAGGGGCATCGTCGCATTATTTTGTCCGTTACTATTCCACTTTTAACTGCCACACAGAGTCTTGTGTCTTTGCCCCATTTCGCCGGTTGCCTTTTGTCTCTGTCTCCCTCTCTCTCTCTCTGTCGTTGGCCCTCAGAATTTCGTAAGCGGATTTTTATATTTTTATACCATTTGAACTTTTAATGTGCGTGCTGTGCCGTGCCGTTGCCCGTTGCCCGTTGACCAGTTCGTTTTTGTCCCCTTTCGCCCCTCCCTTCCTCTTTCGCCACATTGCAGTCCAATTTATACTTTCTCCCCTGCTTTTCCGCTTTTCTACGCGCGCAATTTTCCCTCGGCCATTGGTTTTTGGCCATTGCATTAAAGTTTAAATGCCAAGCGTTGGCAATGTTGCAACGTTTCAATCAACGAGAATCCACATGGCACTTGGCTTTCTAAGATATAAAGATAGTTTTGTTTGACAACTTTGGAGTTTAGAGTGGGTTAGGTTCTTAAAGGGTCTTAAGGTTTTCTTAAGTTAAATCAAGCAACTTGTTAGTAATTAGTCAGGGAAATAGCTGGTTTTTCCAACATTTGCTATACCCCACTTAATCCAGCTTTAGCCAAAGCCACTAATAAATCAAGAACCTAAATCAAAGCCAATTATACTGCATTAGAAATAATCTAAACATGGAAATAAATTATTTAATTAAAAATCCAGCAACGTCTATTCATCATTTTGTAATTAAGCCAAGCCAAGCCATCCGCGGGCGATATTGTCAAATATTTGTGAGTTTATTAATTACACGATTTCCCTTCGCCAGATTATTATTAAATAAAATCCTCATAAATATTTAAATGTTTGTTGCGGCTTTCTTTGTATGTATTATTTTTCATTTGTTGTTTACTTTGTTTTGTTAATTAAGCGCAGGCAACTGAAACTGA